AGAGAGAGAGAGAGAGAGAGAGAGAGAGAGAGAGAGAGAGAGAGTGTTCAGTTGTTTCAGAGCTATCCACAGTGTGGTCCGGTTGCTAGCCGTGTGACTCCGTTACCTGACCTTTGCTTCCTTTATTGAGTATTATCCTTTGCTGCCTGCCCTGACCTTATGCTTCGTTTGACTATGATTATTGAATTCACCTTTTTGTACCACATATTCAGAATCTGTGCCTGATTCTTCTCCTGAGTACGCTATCCCAAGCTGTGCGCCCTGGCTATTGGGCTCTGCATATCCAATTACTGACAGTGGGGTTGCTATCATGCATACCTGTGTTTGTGTTGGGAGCGCGCTTGATTGCACACCCCCAACACAGAGACCGAGTTGTAACCGACAGCTTCTGGTTTCAGACAAATGATGGGCTACCAATCATGTGGTCACTGCAATAGCCAATCGCAATGATCCCTGTGAATAGAACCCTCCCCTGTACTGTTTTTTCCCTCTGTGAGGAGATAAAGATACATTGGGGAAGAATTTATGAACTTGTTTGCGCCAACATTTTTTGTAACTACCCCAAGTTTTATCTCTGTTATGTGTCTTTTTTTAGGTGTTTTCACAACATTTACATTTTGATTTGGACTCACTGCACATGTTTTGCGACATTTTCCATTATTTCCCAGCTGCGCAGTATTTGCGTCCAGCATTTATGACACTTAAAGACCTCCAAACCGTCCCACATCCTAGAAGTCTTCCTGAGCCCTTCTTGAAGTATTGCAGAGATATATCACCTTCACTTCCTCAGGTCAGCTGAGCACTTCAGGGCTGTTCAGCTGAATTCCAGAAGGTTCCCTCCAAGCTTGGGACAACTGAGAGACAGTTTGGTGATTGGGACAATTTAGAGACAGTTTAAAGATTGGGACAATTTAGAGATAGTTTAGAGATCGGGACAATTTAAAGGCAGTTTAGAGATTGTGGCAATATAGAGACAGTTTAGAGATTGGGACAATTTTAGATACAGTTTAGATATTGGGACAATTTTAGAGACAGTTTGGAGATTGGGACAATTTTAGAGACAGTTTATGGATTGGGACAATTTAAAGACAGTTTGGAGATTGGGACAATTTAGAGACAGTTTATACACCGGGACAATTTAGAGATAGTTTGGAGATTGGGACAATTTTAGAGAAAGTTTTTTAAAGATTGGGACAATTTTAGAGAAAGTTAGAGATTGGGACAATTTAGAGACAGTTTAGAGATTGGGACAATTTAGAGACAGTTTGGAGATTGGGACAATTTAAAGTCAGTTTAGATATTGGGACAATTTTAGAGACAGTTCGGAGATTGGGACAATTTAGAAACAGTTTAGAGATCGGGACAATTTAGAAACAATTTGGAGATTGGAATAATTTTGAAACAGTTTAGAGATTGTGGCAATATTGAGACAGTTTATAGACTTGGACAATTTAAAGACAATTTAGAGACAGTTTATTCACCGGGACAATTTAGAGATAGTTTGGAGATTGGGACAATTTAGAGACAGTTTAGAGATAGGGACAATCAGGGGCTGCAGTGGTAGACTTAGTAAGTCATTCTCACAGCATATGGGAGACCAAAGTTTAAGTGTCAGTGTTTTCCTTTAGCTGTCTGTATCCTCCACTTAGCTGTTGTCAGGAACATTAAATGGGCCCCTGCTTTGGAACATTGCCTATTACAGGCACTAGTTCCAGTGTTGCATCTCCACCCTCTGCTTAGCCATTGACAAGGTACAGCTGGAGCGTCATATCTATTATTATTTACCATCAAATGAAGCCCAATGTGTCCTGGAAGAACAATGTATAATTCTCTTTGATACACGGAGCAGTTACAAAGATGCCGTGTTTCCCCGAAAATAAGACACTGTCTTATATTTTTTTTGGCTCAAACAACCACACTAGGTCTTATTTTCGGGGTAGGTCTTATTTTTTTATTTTTTTAATGTATAACAATCCAAAGTTAATGCAAATCCAAATTAAATAATCCAAAATGGCAAAGTTAAAAATAGGGTGATCAGGGCAATCAGGGGTGCCATACCTTTCCAAGAGCAATTTGGTAACCAGAATGAGCGAAGCGCACTTTCAATATCGATTCCTCACAGGCGGAGCGCATTTGGTATCACTCGGCCTGTGACAGGAGGCGGCGCTATAGAGCAAACACCGGCTCATACAGCTCTGCTCCCTGCGCTGCCGCCGCCTCGCTTCCTCCAGCGCTGGCGTCATTGGCACCGCTGATTCTCTCCCGCCGCTCTTCAGGTTCCCCCTTATGCCACCACCGGCCCTGGGAATGGTCACAACTAGGTCTTATTTTCGGGGTAGGTCTATTTTAGCAATTCCCAAAAATGGTACTAGGTCTTAATTTCGGGGTAGGTCTTATTTTCGGGGGAAACAGGGTATGTACAGTATTGCTAACACATGACAAAGTTGCAAAACTGCGTTGAGACATTCGGGTTTGTTTTTTCCTTCATCATTAAGGGGTTATAGGTAACCTTACGTATCTCTTCGTCCGATTACAGAAAGCAAAGGAAGAACTGGAACAGGCAGCTGGAAACCTCAGTCAGGCTCTCGCCAACAACAGCGTCTTCAGTGGAAATGTCCAGAGAAGTGGATTCATTACAGGGCTTCTATACAGTGTGGAAAGAGTCGTGCTCATATCATTTTTGGAGGCACCGAGAGTCCAGCATATCAACACTTCTCAACTAGGTAAGTCCCAGTGTTGGGTTTAAATGGTTGGAATATTGGGGGTCTCTTGAATAGGGACAGAGCAAGTAAAAGTTGAATCTAGTGATATAAGAAGTTGGGATTCAAGGAAATAACCCCATTTGTGCATGTTCTGTGGGAAGAAAGAAGTGCAACTCTAATGAAACCCTAAATTATTATTACTATTTATTTATTGATATCTTTGCCAGACTCAGATGGGTAAAAGAAAAAGAATAACATTGTTTGTGTGATCGGGTAACTGCGTGCAATTTGAAGAAGACATTGCTTTGTAAACTATAAATCAAGATCACATTCTCCTCCATTGCTCTGATCAGCGATGTTCAGGAATAAAGATAAGTCCTGTGTAAGCTAAAGCTGAAGGCGGAGCTTACACTGGGCTATAGACTCCTCCTGTGATAGTGCTGATTGGCCCAGCATTGTCACATGGAGTGAGTCACATGCTCTTCTATACCCAGAAGTAACGGGTATATCCTCCTGGATCCAGGTGATGAATGGAACGGTGGGTGAGCAAAGGAATGAGAAGGGTGAGTTGTTGGGGAGCATTTAATTAAAGTGTATGTCTTCTCAAAGTTTTTTCTATTTTTGGATAGCTTGGGAAAGAATTAGAACCCATGTCTGGTTTTTCCAGCTTGTATAATCGAGCCAGACGGGGCGCCGAACAAACATTTTAGGAAGGTCAAGCACGCGACTATGCCCAGAGATCCACGCGTTTACATGGCTATCACGAAGGTCAAGCAGGCAACCACGCCCATAGATCCGCATGTGCACATGGCTTTCAGAAGGGTCAAGCACGCTGCCTTGCCAAGAGATCCACGCGTTTACATGGCTATCGGAAAGGTCATGCATGCAGCTGTGCCCAGAGATCTGCGCATGTGCATGGCTATCAGGAGGGAGCAGCACACGGCCGTGCCATGATTAGATGCGTTGGGGCCATTGAGAAATAATGGTACTGCAGGGCACCTAACATTGAAACATACAATGCGGGATCGTGTGCCACACACGCTCCCGCATCACATAGATGTGAACGGAGCCTTACTGACCCTGCTGTATCCTGATCCCTCCTTGTTACTCACCCTGGCTGGTATCCTGACCTCAGCTCCTGCTTGTCCTACTTGTCCTCCTTTTACCTATGCTACCCAGTTGTTGCTTGACTCTGCTTGCCTTGAGAATAATTCTTCACCTGGTGCCTGCTAGCTTCCAGACTCTCTGGTGACCTTCTTCTGCATCTGGATTTGCTACAGGTGCCCATGCCACTCCCCGTCCAGCTATACTCTGTCCCAACTCGAGGGGAAACTGGTTAGGAGATGTGGGGGAAGCCTTCTCATCAGTGCGGACTCCGAGTACATGCTAGTCCACAAATATATTTACCTGATTCCACAAATGGTTAAAGGATAACCTAAAGCAACCAACGCGTTTCAGGGGCCAGGCAAATCCCCCGTCGTCAGATTCTCAATTAAATCTTCCGTGTCTACTCCTTTTGTATCTTTTGTAGCCCTGATGTAGGGGAATTGATTGGCCCCTGAAATGCATTGGTTGACCTGTATTATCCTTTTATCATTTGTGGAAACAATAAAATACATTTCTGGGCTCTCAAAACATTTCTTTGCCACTCCTGAGTTGATGACACATACATTTCTCAAGCAGGGTGACCGCTTTATTTGGGGAGAAGCCAGTTTTGTGGAGAGCTACTTAACCAGTGGCGTAGCAATCACCATAGCGACCCTGGCGGCCGCTATGGGGCCCGGGGCACAGTGGTTCCCGGCCAGATGCTATGCGGGCCGCCTGGGTCACTATGGGATCCTCTGCCGGTGGCTTTTACTGGCGGCTGAAGATGAACACGCCGCTGTTCAGATCACTGACAGTAATCAGTGCAGCAGCGCATTTCTCTCCACAGAGTCAATGAGAGCCAGCAGCGGCGGTGGAGCAGGCTGGACCCGGCAGTGGAGGAGGAGGTGGGACCCGTGGTCAGCAGCAGGCGGGGCCCGGTGATGAAGGAGGCAGGCCCAGCAACGGACGAGGAGGCGGGGCCCATCAACGACCGACGGAGGAGGTGGAGGACAAGTAAGGAGTGCGAACAGCCCACCTGAGGGTGACCCTGCAGAGCCCACCATAGAGAATCTATGGTGGGCTCTGCAGGTTCACCTTCCCCTGGGATCTCGAGTGGGCTCTGCAAGGGGTATAACCAGAAATCACGAGGCCCCATACAAAATTTTTCTATGGGGCCCTGTGATTTCTAGTTACACCCCTGTACTTAACCTAGGCCATTTCACCTAAACAAACACCTCTTACCTACCAGATAAGCATCTGTATCCAGCACCTCGCTCCCACCTTCACTTGATTTCTTCTGCTGTCCTGGGCTTTGCTAGACAGATTTCCCCTCACTTCCTGTCCTGCAGACAATGAATGTAAGTGACAAAAAGGGAGAAATCTGAAAAAGGGATACTTCTCCACTTCTTCGCCTTCTCCACTAAAGAATTGCATTTTTAGTTCTGTCCCTGTTGTCCTTACTTCTTGTCTTGTAAAATAATTGTCAGCAGTTCATTAATGATATAGGGGAGGGGGTGAGTAGCCATGTCTCAGTGTGTGCTGATGATACAAAAATTGGGAGGGTAATAGACACGGATTTAGACATTGTAACATTACAGGAGGACCTGGATAAACTCAGGGATGGGCAACTGTATGGCAGATGAAAGTTCAATGTCGATAAATGTAAGGTAATGCACTTTGAAGTTAAAAATAGGCAAATGGACTATACACTTATGGGTGTGCCACTAGGGAAGTTAAAAACGGAGAAGGATTTGGGGGTCATTATAGACCGCAGATTGAATAACAGCTCGCAGTGCCAGGCTGCTGTAAACAAAGCAAGCAGAGTCCTGTCATGCATTAAGAAAGGAATGTATTGCAGGGACAAGTCTATAATTTTGCCGCTTTACAGATCACTGGTTCGGCCTCAACAAGGTGAGGGGAGCAGCGTGAAGCATGTAGGGCCCAGGACAGGAGGAAGAGGTCCCGGGATGGACATTAGCGGTTACCAGGATAATAAATATCCTGGTAATCAGCGGTCACCAGGGGCCCCTTCCTCCTGTCCTGGGCCCACTCCAAGTGGCAGAACTCCTGGCATACACGCAATAGGTTGGACTTGATGGACTTATGTCTTCATTCAACCTCAAATACTATGGGGTCTATTCACTAAGCTGCCGAGGGCAGCCAAGTGAATGACCGACGAGAAGTGAAGTGAGCCGAACACTGTTCGGCTATTCACTTCAGGCTGGTACGGCTGTGTATGTAACTATGTAAGGAAGTGAGAGGAAATCTCTTTAATGGAGCCTTGTATAGCAGTAAAAACCTTGCAAGGGTTCTAACCACCCCTCATTATATCCAACACAAAATGTTTGTTTTTTTTTAAATGACATGCACTTTAAAGTGAACCTGTTGACTTTCCCTAAAAGAGCAAAGCACAGACACACTTTAAAGCCCATTTCCACCTTTGCGGAGGTATTTAAAAAAAAAAACATATGCCAGCCATGTACACCAAGTGAACATGAAGAAGGTATATGCAGTTGCTGTATATGAACACAGAAACCAGCTTTTTTGTTAGCTGTCCTCTCCAGCTCCTCATGCCTCCCTTTGAAATGTCCGGCTCCGTGCTCTGCAGGCAGTTTGTGTAAATTACATGCTGCTGTGCACAGTGGGAACCACAATAAAGGGCATGGAAAACTAAATTTCCAACAATTCTGTGCTTCCCTCATGCTCAACCTTCTCTGTGAAAACTAAGCTCTCTCTCAGCTTTTTTCACTGTTCAGATCACTGACAATATGTCAGTGATCTGTGCAGCGGCGCCTTCCTCCTCACAGCTGCTGCTGAGTCAGTGACAGCCAGCAGCTGCGGTGGGGGCGGCCGGGGCCCGGCAGCGGAGGAGGAGGTGGGGCCCGGTGGAGGAGGAGGAAGAGTCCCAGGCCGACTGCAGTGGAGGAAGAAGAGGTGGGGCCCACTGGCGACCAAGGAGGCGGGGCCCAGAGGTGGAGAAGGCTGACAGCGGATCGGGGCTGACAGGTAAGAGGTGTGCAGGGGTGTGACCGGCCCACCTGAGACCCTGCAGAACCCACCATAGAGAGTCTATGGTGGGCTCTGGAGGGTCACTCTCAGGTGGGCTGTGTGGGATCTCAAGTGGGCTCTTTAAGGGGCGTAACTAGAAATCACAGGGCCCCATACAAAATGTTTCTAATTACGCCCCTGCCCCATTCATTAATATTCATAGTGTCAATGCCCCCCAGAACAGTGCAGAGTGATCTGGAGTAGCAGGGCTGGTGTGTAGTGATCTTGTAAGGATGACTCACAGGGAGGGCGTCAGCTGCTTTACAGTCTGTACAAGACAATCCAACCCCAGTGTCCTGTGGAGGGAATTTTTTATTTGTAGGACTCAGGCCCTCTAAAAAGTCCCCCCAAAAATTAAAAAAGCCACTAATGTGAGTCATGAAAACATACATCATGATCGCACCTCTACAGTACCAGAATAAATGTTCTTCACTTACAAAGTTGGAAATGGGCTTTACGTGGAGTAACACTCAGAGTAAAAAAAAGGTAATTCATCTGAGTACACGGTCTTTTCCTGATGGTGACGCTGAGCACTCATCTCCATAATGTCACTTTTATCTATTGCCAGACATTACCATGAAGCCTTCCTATAACATCTGCACTCATGGCGTCCGGACCTTCACCCTGGTCTCAGCTGACAACATTATGGAGGTGCCCTGCAGTCTGGTGTCCGGAGACAAAGGTAATATAACATCGGAATGGATCAGTACCTGATATGATGATATAAACCAACAAAATATCCAAAGACAAAGGAGTAATGGCCGTGCTGGCGTTTGATCCAAGTCTGAACTGACATAATAATGATTTTGGGTGACTTAGGCCCCTGTTTATAGTGGAGAGCAGATGCCCATATTAGCTGGACATTGTAACATCACCAGGGCCGTCTTTAATACTGATTGGACCCTGGGCAAACAATTTCTTGCCCCCCCCCGGCCCTAACAGCAGCATACGGAAGAGGTGGGGGCAACACCAGTGGCGGACCTAAGAAACAAAGGACCCTGGTGCAAGATTTTTTGTGGGCCCCCCCCCC